AAACGCGAACTTACTCTCCAAAAATAACGCACTTATTGAAACAAACCTCGAAGAATGTTGTGTAAGTAAAGAAAAAATCATGACATGTATCTAAGGGCATATTCCAATCTTCTAAAATCTTACAACAGAAAAGTTCAAAACTGAGTGCATAGAGTTGCCTTACGTTTATGCCGTGAAATTACCGTTTTTTTTTTAAATTCATCTTTTCTGTATACTAGCTTTTATTCGTTACATAATAAAGACCAATTGCTGAGAATTTCGAAAGAATTCGCTCATTATTAAAAAAGTTATTACACTGTAAGTAAAAAAATCTCGAACATGCACTCGGTTTTGATTGCCAGTGTAGGAGATAATAAATACATACCGACGTCTGGAAGCAGCGCTTCTCGACAATTACTAGCGTAGGGGTGAGAATGCTGCGGGGTAATGTGTCAAAATCTCATTTAATTGGTAACCACGTTCTAATGCGGCAATCTAGAGGTGGGTAACTCAACTCAGAGTTGAGTTATTGAGCTGATTCCTATAAGTGAATCGGTAACTCAGACTCCCTGTCCAAAAAAAATTTAACTCAGTAACTCAGTTGATGCCGTAGGGCTCACATGAATCAATTGAATCATAGTGGCTCATATTTGTCCATATAACTCTCTCGCTTCGCCACAGTGTTTAGCATGGCAAAGTCTTGCATTTTGTTTTTGCACGAGGCGAATTTATACAAGGTGGTGGCAAGAATACAACAACAACAACCACATGTATTTTGTATTGCGGGTGTTATGTCAAATCTCACAAATTCTTATAATTTCGTTTTTTTTTTAGTTTTTCTCGAAATATGTATGTATGTAAGATATATAAAGATGTGCATATCAAATCAATTGCCTTTCCAACCATATCCATTTTGAAATTCGGTACAATAGGTTTCGAAATATAAGCTTTTGAAAATATTGAAAATTCCACCTTTACCCTCCCCCTAGCACCACCCTATTAATTTGCACACAAAAAAAATTACACCTTTCAAATCAGTAGAAAGGAGCTGACCCCGCCCACTTTAAAGTTTTGTTTTATCTGAACGGCCGCTATACCGCATCTATGCCTCAAAACGAGTCTACGATACGAATGAGTGTAACATCCAAAGAGTCAAATGAGTTAGTTGAATGAGCTGACTCCTTAAAGTGAGTTGGAGTCATTGAGTCAACTCCTATAAATTTGCCGAGTTACCCACTCTTACGGCAATCATAAAAAAAAAACAAAAAAAGGAATTTGTAGTACGTATACGCGCTGAGTATGAAGTGTTCATACATAGTCCGTTTTAGCTGACGCACCAAGATTTGTGGTCTGGTAGAGGTGAGTAAAACCACCCATGCCAGGCGATAATCTACCCGATTGTTACGTCCGAAGCAAGTTTGATGTCCATATGTCCACAGCGAGACATACAAATAGGCTGCGCCAAATGTGCGTAGCTACAACATGCCGGCCTCACCCAAGGCTTTTCTGATGACGCGCAATTGATAGACGAACAGCGATTTGCAACGATTCCCCTTTTTTTTTTGGTACACTGTATTGCTCTAATAAAGTACTCATAATCTCGGGCCTACAAACTTGGGCAGCTACGCACGCTCAAAATATGGGTATGCGCCACGGGCCACCAGTAAAGGAAGTTGGTAAAACCTAGAATATAAAAAAGTTGTTGAATTCGGGTAAAACCCATTAATTAAAATTTACTATAGAATAATGCACAACACTTACCGTTTTCGCCCTCGTGGTTTTCTAGAATGACATTTATGCCATTCAGGAAAGTTGTAAAGTGTGCCGCTGCTGATACCCAGTGATGGAAAAATAGGTACAATTGTACCCTGTCAACTTTAAAAACTTACGTGGGGTCCACACAAGCTAATGTTGCTCAGACTATACAAATGCAGTCACTTTTTACAAAAAGTAAAACATTTAAGAAAAAATTGGTTTGCGCACGGTGAAGTACATGCAGTACGTAGCCAAATAGCGTTTAACGTCAATTTTCAATCCTAATTTCTTTATTTAGCCAATGTTTGACTATTTTTATAAATCCCTTATTGAATTGTAGAAGCAATCAGAATTGTCTTCTTAAAAATGTGCATAAACACAAAAGATAATTTGCTGGGTGGTACATTCATATACGCAGTCAAAGTTTCTACGCAAACTAGGTACTAAATGTGACTTTCCATCACTTGGTACAGCACAGCGGGGAATATCGGAGACATCCACCGCGAACTTTTCCTCGGGCGCCCAAATTGGCAGCAACATTGAGGCTGCATTTCTTTATTCATTCTGAACGGTTGGAATAAACTTTTTTGTTTATTTATTCTTTAGAACGTTCCTGATGATATGTTGACGTATATTTCAAAAGCATTCTGTTTATTCCGGCTGTGAAATGGGATTATCCGGAATGTATAAAGAAACGCAGCCTAAATGTTCTAACGGCGCCATCTACTGCTAGCGGGCCACATGGCTGAGAGAAAGAAAAACCAATGAACGCACCAAATAACAATAGCTGTGTTTTCTTAGGCAATGGGAACCGAATAAAATTTCTTCACGCAAATGCATCATTATCTTGACGGAGATCTAATTCAATCTATGACTCGTGCTGATACCTTTGTTTCAATAATAATTAGTAGCACGGTTTGGTAACACTGACAAATGAATGCATAAACAAAGAGATATTTTAGCATCTAGCATCTACTTGATTCACATAAATCGCTTTAGTAAAATCACATTAGTTCCCGTAAATATGCATTTTTCACAGTTGTGTGTGTTCATTTAAATAATTTTCTTCCTCGAGCTAGTAGTATAAAACAATGAGAATGATCCAGATCGGTTCCGTGAGAAATGATCGCGATAATGCCCAAGATAAACGAAGAAAACACGACTAACAATGTGAGGAATTGTTGCATATACCGGGCGCCCGTAGGTGTTGAATACTTCACACCAACCTTTAACGTTCCTGCCACGGCAATCAGACTTGATTTTATCAATTTTGATACTTCCACCGGTGTGGCCTGTGCCAACATCGGCCCCAAACCACCACCAAAGGCCAACTTTTTTGTTTACATTGGGTGGCAGGCCATGCAACGCAAACATTACACAAATTAATAATGACAGCTCACGGATGAGCGTAGATTTCAAAAATCGATACAATTTTATCGCTAGATAATATAAAGGAGCAAACACAATATTCAAATGCTCGGGTAATATCGTAATATTATACACCCCATACACGGCCAATTGAACACGTCAATCATAAACCAACCCCAACATGGGTTTAGAGCGCGTAAGTAGTATATGCCAATTCAAGGTTCTATAATTATATGATGTAATTCTCGCCACCCAACCATAAGTACCATGATATTAAGAATAAATATCAATAATAGCAATGACTTTACGATCGAAACATCGACAAAATAACCATTTTCAGGTAACAATGACTCGTTTCTCTACGTTGAGAAAGAAATCGGAACGCCACGCTCATCGTTACCCGATAGCGTGCCGGCTATGCGAGGGTAAGCACCCAATCCGTCTATGCCCAGTATATCGAGCAAAGACCCCGGAAGAGCGTTTGCGAGAGGTCCTGTTAGGGCGGTTCTGCGGCAATTGCTTGTCGATGACGCATCGTGTACAAAGGTGCACCAGCCGCGATCGATGCCGCCGATGCCATGACAAGCACCATACGACGCTGCACATCGACGAAGAGCCCGTTGACCGGAGACCGTGGAGCCAGCAGGTTGCCAGCGAAGAGGAAAGAGACAACGTACTCTCGATATACGCGTCAGACTCCGGAACGGATTCCCGAACCCGCCGCCCTGAAATCGAAGAGGGCGAAATAATTGAGCCTGTAGCGGAAGCGAATTTTCCAATATCGACGGGGGGATCGGAAACCCGGACTTTCCGTCTCCCGTTAGCACATAAAAGGCGACAACATCAACGGGCACCGCAGCGTCGCGGAGCGGAGACTCGGTCTTTCCGCCGGCGATCCATACGCAAAAAGGCTACCGGTCAAGAAGGACAACGGCAACGGGCACGA